AACCAAGGTAATCTTTAAAGCCATCAAATAAGAATGTTCTCTTTTCAGGCCTTATTTCCCCATTTTTACATCGACCAATTTTCGAGAAAATTACCAAAAATGCTATGTTGCACTTATGCCAATTCAGTCTTAAACCTTTTATTGTGCTAATTAAGTCATAAACCTTTTCATGTTTTGCTAATTAAGTCCATTCAACCTATTTTGGCCAAAAATCACTAATGTGGACGTTGGCCTCCTACGTGGCATGGCCGGTAATGACATGGACATATTTTAATAATTTAATTTTAAATAATTTTTTTCTTTTTTTTACTTTTTTTCCCCGGACTTAGAATCGGTGACAGCATTGCGGCGCTTGCTGAGTCTGGGTGAGAGACGGGACGACCTTGTTCGCCCAGATCGGGTGAGAGCGTCGCGGCCCTCGCTTGGCTAGATCTAGCGAGGGCATCGGTGAGGGTGTCCCGGCCCTAAGTCCAGGGAAAAAAAGAAAAAACTAAAGAAAAGAAAAACGAAAAAAGAAAAAAGGAAAAATAAAAAAGAAAATTTTTTAAAAAATTATTAAAAAAATGTCAACGTCAATACCGGCTGTGCAACGTAGGATGACTAGACGTCCACATTAACTATTTCTGGCCAATTTTGGCCGGATGGACTCTGTTGAGGATGATGTCTTGTATTCTGTTATATGAAAAAGCTAAATATTTTAGGCTATGTGGGCAATTTTGTAATTTGTGCCATGTAGGGTTTCACTATATATGTTTAGGGCGAAACAGGTCTCTAAGAAGAGAAGGAGGGAGTGAGAAAGAGCGGCTGTACACTTTTCTACGTTATTAGTGAAACAGATCTCATCTCCCCGTGGACGTAGGTAGGCGGAACATCTCCCCTGCTGAACCACGTAAATTCTTGTGTTGTGCGAATTTCCATTACTTTTCTTGCATCGTTGATAGGATCGAATTAGATATTCGACAGACTCATTTGGCAAAACGTAAAAATGTTTAGGATTCAATTGGCACAATTAAAATGTTTATCACTGAAAATTTATAGTTCTTCCATTACAATTACCAGTTGATTTTTGTTGACATGGATTGCAGAATTAATGATAGAGACACTGGTGAATACACGTTTCAGGCTGGAATACATGTGTCATATTATGATTCATTGAAAATTATTATGAGCCAAAAAGGCACAACATTAAAAAATAAGAGAAAACAAAATTTAGAGAGAGATGGAGGTCCATCTCGGCCGCCGTAGCTGCGAGCTCAAGCTCTAAGCTTACGGCAACCATGGTCATGGCGGCCACAACCATTGGAGTTTCAACTTGCGAAACTCGAGGCATTGTCGCTCGATATAAGATCGTCATGGCAGCTCAATTGGCGGTCATTAGTGGTTATGGATCATAAATTTTGTATAGTTGTAGATGATTTGTGGGTTTTCTTCAAGTTTATCATTTCTCTTATTTTGTTTTTGTTAAACTCACATTTAAGAAATCTTACTTAGAGGGATTAAAAGAAATCCCAATTACTGTGATTTTATTCCACATATCCCAAAGAAACTGGATGAAAAATTTATCTGGTACCGTTGGAAAAATTTAGCCGTTGTATAATCATTTCCATTGATCTAATTAGGAAGATTGAGGATATCTCTCCTATATTAGAAAACGTGGAAATGTGATTATAGTCCTATTGGACTGACCATCCTACTTCCTCTGTCAATTCTATTTAGGAAAGTCAAATTGGAGGGATAAGTTCGACAGAATCCGACCATAATTGGTGGCCGCATGCAACTCATAAAAACCAAAATTGCTTTGCTAGGCCAATTTGAGATTTAGTGATGAATATGGAAGGAATAATGATGGAACATCCAAGCATTGGAGTCAAACCAGTATTTTCATTCTTGCAATTATGTTTTTTTAGTAGGGAATTAGTAGTTTTTTGCCTCGACTAACATAATTTGATGTGATTGCTCTTGAATTATATTTTTTTTCCCTACACCAGGATTTAATCGTATTAGTTATCGATCTATTACTAAATGCCCCAAAGATCCCAAAATTTCTCTTCGAAACTTGCTTATCATTATTCTTTTAGGTTGCGTTTGGTGGTATGGATATTTTTTTGTTGGATAGAATAAGGTTGAAAAGGATAAATGTCCCCTTACCAAAAAAAAAAAAAAGGATAAATGTCGGATATGATAATGATAGGATTTAAAATATCTTATAAGACCATGTTTGGTCGTCTGGATTTCTAGTCAGGATAAGACTAGATATGATAGGATATGAAATCCAAGGGATTTGCTATATCCTATCTATTGTTTGGTGAATTGTAGTATTAAATCCGGATATTTTCTTTTTTTCTTTTTTTTTTTTTGGTAAGGGAAATCCGGATATTTTCATATTTTACTAAGTCCATTATTTGTTATGAACGTTATATCAGTTTAAATAAACCTAAAAATTGCACAAACGGAGATGATAAAAATCTCTCATGACACTCTTACCTACTTGATTTTTATTTGCTTATTTTTTTATTATTTTCCCTCTCTTTTTAAGTTTTTTTTTTAAGTTCTTTTTCTCCTCTTCCATCATCCTCTAATAAAATTTTATTAAATAGTAAACTATACTAATATACCTAAAATATGTAATAAATATAAATACTAAATGTATTTGTTTATATATATATGAAATTTATATAATACGATATAAAGAAATTAGAATATATAAATATTAATAAGAATAAATAAAAACGAAATTATTATTATTATTTTGTTATTTTGAATTTTTTATATTAAAATGAAAAGATTATTTATAGTCAAATATTATTTTAATTTTATTAATTTAACAAGTTTGTTATTCGAGAAAAATAACTTTTGTATTATGGACATTAGAAATCTATCCACTTTTATCCCACCTCCCCCATGGGATAATTTTATCCGGGTTATATCTCTCCTTTATCTGATTTTATCCTGTCTTGGGTAGGCACCAAGTACGGGATATGATAAGATTTATCTTATCCTGAATTTAATCCCAACTACCAAACGTAGCTTAAGTGTTTAGTAAATATCCAGATAACACATATTATTCTCTCTCTTGCTCCACCTTTACATTGTCATCAACCCAATGTTGTCGTTGCCCTCCATCGTTGCTTGTCAAGCCGCTGTTGACATTGCCTCATCTCGTCATGCCATCACCGGTTGTTGTATCATTCTCCCTATAGTTTCCTAGTCAACGACCCATGGCGCCTAGTTCTCCGCCATCATTGTCTCCTCTCGATCCTCAACGTTGCGACCACTATGGCCTCAATCACGTTAGATGGTGTTATCAGCCTTGGCGACACCAGATGATCTCTCAACCTCTTGTTGCACTCCAAGATCTCCATCAACCTGTTCAAGCATCGATGCGAGTCGGCGTAGTTGTTGATGAACACGGCGATGAAAACCTAGTTGAGTAGCTTGGGCTCCAATAAACCCAGTTTCCACTTGCCATAGTCCCCAAAATAGTAGATCCCCTAGCACGTGGAAGAGGTCGGCTACAAAGTTTAAAAAAATGTCCTTGCCTCTAAAGCTCACGAACACGTCATGCTTCTATTGATGAATTAAAGGAGAAGATGGACTGTGTCGCTTGATTTCTCCGAGTTCCGTGAGGACAATGCATGATTGAGGGAGAGACTGCGAAAGAGGTGGAAACTTTTCCTCGCAGGTGAAGTGCATTTGCTACAGAAAGGACGTGCAAAGTTGTCCATAAGAAGGGCCGATAATGAACGAAAGCTATGCCATGACACCATATTTGCACGAAGGTGGAGATGTTAATCGGGAAGCTCCGAATGGAGAACATGATCGGCCAGTCAACGATGACAATCAATTGGCCGATGATAACAAGAGCCGAAAGCTTCTCGTCCAACTCCATGTTTGCTTGCTAAGCTCATAGTTGAATTGTCAACTCTCCTCGTTGGGTAATGCCTGTCACAACTGAACCTTAAGGAAACTCAATGCAATGCATCGAAGAGCATATCAACCTTATTTTTTCCAAAATAGGCATATTCCTTTGAGTTGGGGATAATTGTCCAAAACATCCTAAACCTATTATACGAAAGTTATTTCAGTCATAAACTTTCCAATGTGACCAATTTAGTCCTAAATATTTTGACAATTTTCAAATTAGTCTTTTTGTTGAGAAAACTTCCTATTGTGCTTTTAAGATTGACAAAACCTTCAACAGTATCTATTGAATCTAACAAAAGTATTTTCTGGTGATAAAGAAACGATATTCATACTCAAGTTATTGTCATCTAGATATTGCATCTGAAGTTCTGAATATTTACATCGTGGTCATCAAATTGGAAAGTTTATTATTAGATTATTATTAGAGTAATATGAGGACATACCCAAAGCTTGGACGTGGTCAGACTCTATGCGAAGTCCATTCAAACTCAAGGAGTTTTTAGACTCAAACAAGTATTATCGGATCGAGAAGTCTATTAAGACCCAGGCACAGGCACTCCGGCCTCAGCGACCACTTCTCGCCCTCGTTGGATCAGGTCGTTACAATTATCTTCATTTTCAGGATTTGTTCGATACTCACAAACATTACTCTCTCTCTCTTCCACCCCCCCCACACACACACACACACACAAGGGTTGGCGAGGGCGAGGGTCTCAGCCCTTGTTTAGTGGCCAACGAGGGTCGGCTGGCCCCTCGCCTGTGATTGATGAGGGTTGGCTAGGACCCTTGTCGATGGAAGAAAAAAAAAAGAAAATCCAAAATTTATATATATTGTTAATGTCGACGCTAGCCGTTCCACGTTAACGATTTTCGGCTAAAATTGATCGGATGGACTCAATTGACAAGGTAATTTCCCCTATATGTGAATTCAGTAAATTATCCTCAATCGCAGGATTTGTTTACTTATAAACATTAACCCCCCCACCGCCCAATAGACCTGAACCTGTCCTTCACAGAAGGATTTGTTTACTTATAAACATTAACACCCCCCCCCCCCACCGCCCAATAGACCTGAACCTGTCCTTCACAGAATGACAAAGGTTCCCTGTGATCAAGGATGGATCGGAGAATCAAGCCTCTAACTTTTTGGCTTACAAAGCAAGTTTTGAGTCACTCAACCAACCACATAATTCATAGAGGTATTACGTTAATTTCTTCATAGAAGATGTCAGTCAAATGAGATGTGAATATTTTTACTATTGTCCTTTTTCGCCTGAACTTTACTAGTCTTTTTACTCATTATCCACGATCCGGTAAAATTAACGTACGTATGATAAACTATTGATTACAATGAATTCATTGAAAAAAAAGTTCCAGCTACTAACCCTTCAGTTAACTTTGACCAAAGGCTTCGCGACTGATCGCTTGCTGTTCCAGGTCTCTCGCACTCTTCCGCTCCAGCTAGGAAGCAACAAAGAGCTAAGAAAGGAAAAGATCCGCGTGAGGCCCCAGCTCTCCCTCCCACTTCGACTTCAGCTCGCCTTTGCCTAGCCGTTCGTCCAACCCACGCCCACCACTTGTCCGCTCAACTCCAGCTCAAGATTTACATTGGATGCTGAGTTCAAGGTTGCTGGATGGGGATGCTGAACGGGATCGTTGAGCTCTTCACCGAGAAGTTGATTATGCTCTTCCAAGCCTGCAGTTTAGGTGTTTGACAAAATTCCTTAGAGAAGGAAGGTTGTCCTTTGGTCGTGACTTATGGTACAGACACTGGAACGTGCTAACCCGAATGCCATCTCACGCCACAATTGACGCTCCGTTGCTCTGAAAACCACAGAGATGGTTAACATACGGAGTGGCAAATCTAATGGGTTGGATTCCTTGATGTCCCAAAAATTGAAGAACAAAGCTACCTCGGCTGACATTAAAAGCAATATATTCAAATCTTCGAAGGAGAAAGAGGCCGACAATATGAACAAAATCGCATCCAAACAAGATACCAATTGTGTTACTGTTGATCATAATTGTGATATAAATGCTAGATTAGGCTGTAAACTGAGTATTGATCTTGTTGATATTATGCCTGCTGTTGAGAAACCTGCTCGTGTTGTTGAGGCTGAAATTGGAGCTTCCAATAAGGCAGCTGGTTTTAGGGAAGATGATATTAAGGGTAGTAAACTGGTCCCGACCCACGTTGTCGCCCTACACCCTACTTGGAAAAGCGTTGCTATGGAAAATATATCCCAAACAACTAAGTTAGATTTCATTCAGCTAAACAAATTTGGTAATAAATTATTAAATTAGGCGTGCCTCCCCCTGAGATTATTGAAGAAGGGAAGGCTCACTTTGAGAATTGTTTTGTTGGCTACTTTCTTACTACAAATACTTCATTTTATCGAGTGAGAGGCATTGTAGACAAACTATGGGGGAAAGAAAACCCATTGGATGTTTCGGCTACAGAGGATGGTTTTTTCTTTTCCAGATTCTCCAATATTCAAAAACTAGTTGAGGTTATGGAGGTGGGGATTTGGGACATAGCTGGCAAACCATTGTTTTTACAGAAATGGTATCTTCTTTTTTTTTTTTGCTAGAAAGAAATGGCATCTTCTTATCAGGTTAGAAAAGGTGAAGATTAGCTCCGTGCTGATTTGGGTACGTCTTTATAATATCCCTCATGTCCTTTGGACCAAATCCGGCTTAAGCTATGTATGCAGTTTTCTTGACAAACCTTTATACATAGATAAAGCTACCGAAGAAAAAAGACGACTTTCATATGCTCGCGTATGCATTTTCATAGATTTTTATAGTGCATTTTTGGAAAATTTTGATCTTGATATGGGGAACGAAGAAACCTTTAAGGTTACTATTGACTATAGCTGGATACCACTGAAGTGCAAAAAATGTCATTGCTTTGGCATAAGGATTGTAATGTGATGACCAAAGAAGTATGGGTTCCTAAAAAAGATTTGGCGGTGAAACCAACGGATAATAATGCATCTATAGCTCCCGTCTCGAATGAAATCGTTACTACAGTGCTGCCAAATGACAATTCCTTGCCTCCTCAGTCCAAGGCTCTTGTTACTGGTACTGATACTTTCATGGTTAATCAGCCAAAGATTTTTGCTAATGTCTCTCCACAGCCGGGTGCTTCTCCTATAACTATCAAACAAGTTAGAAGCAAGAAGAAAGGCTCCACCAACATAAGTAAAGATACTTCCGTTTTTTTGTCTTCCTCAGTTAATATCTTTGTGATATTGGAAGAGGGCAATCATTCTACTACTCCTATCTGGCCCGAGGTTCTTCTTGAGGATATGGGAATGGGGCAGAACCCCCTTGTTGCGCCGCGCTTTTTTGGGACTTTCGGGATTTGTGCGCTAAGGAGGTATTTCCGTGTAAGGGTCTCTCCCAGACCATACCTCACGTGACAGCGGATGGTAATTTCCTATTTAGTCTAAGTTTTTGATTTTTGGAGTCGCCACTAGTCATTATTGGTAGGTAGACTAGAAATCTAATCGGGGTATGGGAGAAATACCACGATTCTACGAACCAGAGATTCTGAGTACGGGGACTTGGTTACGTTAATGATCCCAAATCGAGATCCCTAACGCCCTTTCGGTACCTAAAAACGATACGATGTCTAACGTGTCATGCAAGTTTCCGAGGTTTACCCACTAATTCTATCCATTCTAATCGCAGAAAAATCAATCAAGAATTAAATGTGCAATCAATGTCAATCAAATCAATCAATCCTAAATGGTCTCTAAAAATGAAAATCAATTAAAACATCCAAACCCTAATGAAGCCCTAAAAGCTTATTCATTTCATGATTTGCATTTTTTAGGGTTTTAGGGTTTTTAGGGGTTATAACCCCTAAATTTGAGATTTTTTAAAACTGCCACTTGGGCACTTCAAAAAATTCAAATTTTACTTTCTAAGGTTGGCCACAGTGTTTTTGAACCATTCTGTGAATTTTTGAAATTTTTGATTTTTTTTTTGGAAATTGAATTTATGAGAATTTCATTAACAGAGAATTGATTTTTACGATTTTCTGAAAATTTTTATGAATTTTTCAATTTTCGAATTTTTTTTTGAATTTTTCTAAATTTTTACATTTTTATTTGTATTTTCTGAATTTTCTGAATTTTTATGAATTTTCTGAAAATTTTTGAATTTTCTGAAAATTTTTATTTTTCTGTGAATTTCCTATTTTTCTCAATTTTCCAAAATTTTTCTGAGTTTTTTTTTATTTTTTAGGAATTTTTTAAAAAAAAAAATTTGAATTTTTTAGTGATTTTTTTTATTATTTTATTATTTTATAGATTTTTTTAAAATTTGCCACCGGGAAAATGAACCGGACCGGCCCGGTTCAACCCGGTTCGGCTTGGCCGAACCGAGCCTCGCTGGCGCCGATCGCCGGTTACCTTCTCTGGCGAGCTCAGCGCCGAAACGGCGTCGTTTCCATGGAATTTCATTGGGGCATTTCCTCGAACACCTGGTGGGCATGGTTCAGTGTTATATGTTCTCGAGGCCGCCGGTTTGTGCTCGTCTCCGGCGACCTTCCGGCAAATGTTTTGTCATTCCGATTGCACCATTGTGATGTCTATGTGTTCTATTTTCAATCTAGACTATTCGAAACACCGGCGGATGTTCACCGGCCGGCGAAAAAACCGGTAAAAAAAAACCTAATTCACAACTTATTCTAAACTAACTAACCTAACCTTCAAATCACAATATAGCACGCCCTAGCCGTCTAACTCGATTCCAATCACTAACAAAGCATCAAACAAGGTTGAAGGAGGCTAACGTGACAGGCCTACGGCCATGGTGATGCTCCGGCAACGTTATCCGAGCTCTGGCGAGATGGTTCATGGGGGTGGCCGACTCGGTTTATGCGTTTTTAATGCCCGAAATGCAATCAAACAACACAAAAAATGATCAGAAACAAGTTTTGAACATCCTAAAATACAGAACCATGATCAGAACGATATGACTGACAAGGCTGAATCAAATCGTATTTTTTAGAGTTCTGGAAAAACCGTGACTATGAGCGATGTTTACCTTCTTCGTTCGATGATCAGAAGAAATCGCTAAACTGATCCGCGCCTATAGAGTTGTTCCTTGACACTTGAACTTCAACCTGGTGGTCTTGGATTCGTTGGAAGAGCTCTGGATTCGCTGATCGAGCCGGATTTTCAGGGCCTCACGATCAGTTCTTCACTGATCAACAGAGGAGGAGATCCTCCTTGAACAATTGATTCGCCGGCGCCGTTTCGTTCATCGGCGCCGGACACTCGATCAGGGGACCTCAACTCCCTATTCTCTCTCTAGATTTTCTTTGTTTTCGCGTTATTTCTCTCTCCTCTCTCTCTTTGGCAAATCGTCGAACATCTTCCTCTCATAATGATCAAGTTTATTCAGTTTTGTTGATCAATTTTTCCGCTCAAAGTTTGTTATTCACCGACCTAGAATCGGTTATAACCGATCTCCGACGCCAGCCGGAGATTCTCCAGCTGGCACATGCTATATTGATCGGGGGAAGTCAGTGAAGTAGTCAGTGAAGTTCTGGGCATGGGAGATATTTTCTGGGTTTATTGCGCCTTGGGTGAGTCGGGTAAGGAAGATGAACAACCCGGGTCGGGTCGGGTTGACCCGGCAGACCCGGGTTGGTCTAAATTCACAAATTAAGCTCAATTTTGACTCAATTTTCAAAATTAAACCCCAAAATTGAATTCTTCATCACATTTTGAACCCAAATATGTGATTTTCCCCAATTTTTGTTATAATCATGTCCAAGATTTTCACATTTTTGTATTAGGGTTAATAGGATTTTGTTCAATTTGATGTCCTAATGACATGATTAGGCAAAATTGATGCCAAAATTGAATTACCCACATCTGATTAACCCTAGAAATGATGGTCTCATGGTTCGACAATTTCATATTGGGCACGATTCCCAATTTGGGCTCAAAATTCTTAATTTTCAATTGAATTTTGGGGTTTTCTGATTTCTTTGACAAGTTGTGCAATTGGACTAACCATTATGCAATTCAAGATCCCAGAATCATTTGTTGTGAAGACACTATGACTTAAAAATGACTAGAAAAAATTTAATTGCATTTTTGGTTCAATTCGGGTTTGATTTGCCCAATTTTGGGAAAAACACATATCCGATTGAAATTTTTCAAAATTGATGATGTATTAATGAAATTGGATTTAAAATAAGACTAATGAATATTTTTATGGAATTTTCTGATTCCATTTGCTATTTTTCTTGATTTTCTCACGTATTTTGACTAAAAGAAACTAAGAAAAAATGCAGGAAAATGCTAAAAAAATAATTTTTGGTTTAGAAGTAGGTTTCTAGGCTTGGCCAAGATTCCTAGTCCTAATTTTGAGATTTTTGAAAATATGAAAAAAAGAGCTAAAAATCAGGTGTCAACACCCATGACTAATGAATATTCTTTTATCGAACGTACGGGGCCTTAATGGTAGCCCTAAACAAAAGGAACTTGTGGATTTTGCTTTATCACAAGATCCCTAGATTCTTATTTTGATTGAGCATAAAATAAGAGAGGAAAATGCAGAAATTGTCATCAAAAGTAGGTTTCGAGGCTGGAAGTACATTCATAATTACCAGAGTAATAGTCTGGGTACAATATGGGTATTATGGAAGCCGTCTTTTTTTAACCTGACTATGATGGAACGTTCAGCACAAGTCATTCACTGTCTTGTTGAAAAATCGGGAGAGGAGTTTCTCCTATCTGCAGTTTATGGAGGCAATTCTAAAGCTGAAAGGAGATCTTTATGGCAAAACATTACCACTTTCTCTACTGAAAATTCAGGAAATATGCCTTGGTTACTTATAGGCGATTTCAACGAAACGAGAGATATAAATGAATGGATTGGATCTAATGCTCGATGGACATCTGGAATAGAAGAGCTAAACACCATGATTGAGGAGCTTGCGCTGATTGAGCCTCATTCCCCAGGTCCGTTTTTCACATGGACAAATAAAGGGTCCAATGACAATCTTAGAGTTAGCAAAATTGACAGGGTCTTCATTAATGCAAATTGGCAGAACAAGTACTCTCATTATTCAGTATAATTTTTACTGCTGGGTGTTTATGATCACTATTTGTGCCAGGTGCGTCTTAACACTATTGCTAGAAGAAGGAAGCCCTCG